CAGTGACATGAGAGAAGTCACTGCAGAGGTCTCCAGAGAGACAACCCTATTGAATGCATTAATCACAGCTGATGTTTTCTTGCCTAAAACTCCTTAACCTGAGGCAACCAGCAGACAGAAGCAGGTCGTGGGCCATCCCACAGGACAGTGGCCTCTGGACTCTTCAAAACGGCAATGTCAGGAAGGCAAAAGCGTGAAGGAGGATGTCCCACACACGGGCGGGGGGGCGGGGCACCCAGACCAGCAACACAGCAGGCGATCTCAGGCTGTCTCTATTCACCAAAACCCCCTGGAGGACAGTTTTGGGACAACTGGGGAAAGGAGCAGCGGGGCTGTATTTAGACAATAGATGCTAGTACACGGATGCGACATTTTCAGGGGCAATGGTGGCCCTGCTATCTAGAATGCTTTTGTTCCTGGGAGATTAATTTTGTCTTTGGAGGGACCAACTGAAAGTTGCAGGCATCACCTCATCCTCCAAATACCTCTGAGTGGGAATGGGGGGTGGTGGGGGCGGGTGGGAGAGGGTTAAGCCAATGAGGCAAAGTGCCTGCAGCCCTGAGTCTTGGTGGGAATTCCTCACAGGATTCTTTTGGCTTTTCCGTAAATCTGGAATTTGCAAAACAGAAAGTTGGGGGTGGGGAGGAAGAAAGTGTAGTCACAGATTTTTTTTCAGCCTCTACCAAGGTGTGGTTGAGCGAGAGAGGAAGGCCCACATAAAAACAGGCCCCTGGCCAGGGCTCCGGGGAAGCCAGGATGCATTGCAAGGAGACCCCCTGCCCCCGCCACCGCTCACTCTCTCGACACCTCCTGGCTCCCAGGGCTCTGCTGTGTGGGATGCTTTCGGTTTTCTGTTTGGCAGCTCCCGCTTCAGATGTGCCTGGTGACCAGAACATCCAGGCCAAATGCCTTCCTGGGTCAAGTTCACTTTGTGCTGACGCTCATGAACCCTGTCCCCACTGTCCCGAGTGGCCAAGGGAGCTGCAGAGGCTCCGGGGGGCGGGGTGATGTCTTCATGGAGCCAGTGATGCAGGCACTGCAGGCCAGGTCCCTGCTGGGGGCTGCTTCCAAGGTCCCCCACAAACCATGACGTTGTGAGAAAGAAACACATTAGACCTCCCCCCACCCAGGCAGTGGGCCTGCACGTGACGGGTCTCAAGTCACACTCCTCCTCTGGCTTTGACCGCACGCTTCTCAGAGGACGGCCTGCACGTCACTAACAGAACAGACACACCCCGGGTCTCCGCCCTGCGCCTCTGTGCACGCCCCTGATGGGCTTCACCCAGGCTTGTCACTGAAGACAAAGATCGGAGACAGAGGCTGGGCCATGAACCTCAGGGTGGCGACTCCCTTCTTGGCGCACTGAGCTGAGAGGGAGCTCAGAGAGCACACAGTCAGACCGGGAGCATCTCCTTGCGCTCCACCCAGCTCCCTGGGGCTGCGGAGTGAGACCATCAGGGGAATCGGCCCCACAGGCTCCGGGTCAGGGTGAGGCAGCAAAACGCACTGCCTGGGCCTGTCTGTGGGTTTCCAGGCGACTGTCCAGATGCCTCCCAGTCTAGGGCCCCCTTGTGGTGGGAAGAAACCGCGATCAGGTGGCAGGCGGCTTCCCCCGTTCGCAGATGGGTTATAAGGAGCACCTGTGAAGGGGCCGCCTGGGCGGCCGTCTGCGTCCTCTTGCTTCCTCTCCTGGAAAAGTTAGGGACTGAGTGGGTTGTTGTCCTGGGCAGCAGACGTTCTGCTGAGACCACGCCCAAAGCATGGGCACCCCCATCTCGCTGCAGCTGCAGGGCAGCGAGCACAAGTGGAGGCTTCAGAGAGGCATTTACATGCAGAGAAAGCGGCGCACGGGAGGGGCCAGGACCGAAGGGCGCAGGTGGAAAAAAGATCCGATCCCAGCTCTGGCGCCAAACTAGGTGTTTCACAAGCCAGACAGGTGGGTTCACTCCTGGGTGAGACGCAGTCTAAGGGTCCAGTGGCGTGACAGCACCTTCCGCCCAGGGTGGGTGTGATGGAAATAAAAACAGGAGGGTCTCTACAAAACCTTGAGCCCAGAGCTGTCTGAGGCCATCAGTCCCATGGTGCTCCTTCTCCTGCCTTTGACAGGAGGAATGGATTGAGGGCCCAGCTGGAGAACACTCTGCCGGAGGCTGGAACCTAAGTAGCTATGATCCACGTTGACTGCTGGCAGGAGAACGGGCGGCTGCGCGGCTGCCCCCCTGCTCCTCCTAATGGAGGCAGAGTTCCACGGCCGCACAGCCTGCCTGAGTGGGCGCGGGTAACTGGGTAGAAAGACAGAAATCGCCAAGCAGGAGCACGAGGGAGAGACACCCGAGCCCAAGACATTCAGAGGGATGACGGGGGTGTGGTCAACAGTGATGAAGCAGCCATAACGGCAGAAGGGAGCATGAGGGACAAGCTGGTTCTGGTCCTCTGATCTGAGACACAGGCGAGGATTCTAATGCCGACCAAGTGGGCAGGTCTCAGGGGCCACGCTCTGGATGGAAATGCCCCGTCCCGTTTTACCATGAGAGAGGGGATCCCTGGGGACCCTCGACTCCTCGTCCCCATGACAGCACCTCATGGATGTGCCCAGAGAACTCCCTGGCCAGAGACCATGGTAGGGAAGAGACGGGCCACCTGAGAAAGAGATGGCATCACAAGGGAAGCAAACCAAGGTCCGCCTGCGCCCCTGAACACTCCGAGCATAAACAGGGCTGTTTGACTTCCAAAGAGAAGACCCAGGGAGGGTCCTTACGGGGCGGAACGGGTTGCTGAGGGCAGAAGAATGGGAGGAAAGCAGACTAAGACCACTTTCAAGCTGCTTCAGACACCGAAGTGGGTGGTGGTGACACACACAGAAAACGGCCAGCCTCCGGCGATCCGCCGTCCCACGAAGAAGAGCCACCTCTGTGCAAGTCTAGGAGACCGGGCATTTTCCAGACCTCCCTACCACTGGGGGCGCTCCAGCGAAAGCAGGCCCTTCCTGAGCACCATGCAGGTATCTCAGCAGGAACCAGCCTACAAAGGCGGGTCGGGCAGGAGTCCCTCAAACCGACTCCGAGGGCCCGGCACCTTTACCTGTGGAGAGAGAGAAGTGGGTTCCCTTTGCTGGGGGCCCAGTTAGGAAGCTGGAGTGGGGTGCAGTCAGCTTCTTGGACCCTTTTGGGATCTAGACTGAGGCCATTCTCTCACCTTTGGGGAGGGCCAGCCCGGTGACACCGAGCAAATGGCTCATCCTCTGGGTGCCTAGGTTTCCTAGGGAACAAAGATCACGGCATGCACCCCACGGGAGGGCAAAGCCAGGAAGACTTCCGGGAGAAACCCTGCCCTCACTCCCAGCAGCCTCCCGCAGAGCCCGGAGCTCTGGGCGAGCACCCCGTAGCCGGGCCGCCCCTCTGACCCCTGAGCCAACAGCCTCCCCCACAGGGAAGAGATAGAAAGAGCGACGCTTCTGTTCTCGGTGCAGACTTTAGAGCCCTAAAATGGGGGCATGGAAAAAAGAACAAAATCTTAAAGCCGAGTGAATAGATACAGACTGTGAAGACTGATACATGTCCACCTTGACACAGAGCATCTGAGGTCCCCAGACTCCAAGGCCCTGTGTCCTATACGAAGGGGCCATTTTCAGCACATATGTGACATAAAGGACACTCCTTTCCAGGGGGTCTTGAGGGCTGCATTTCAGTCCAATGGCCCAAATACTTGGGGACAGTGGCACTTGGTGGTGTCTCCTTTAAGAAATTTTGCGGGTTTACTCTTCCTGGGTGCAAGCCCCCCGTTCTGGGAGAGCCCACCGGGGCTCCCACTGCACCTTCCGAGCAAGGCAGCTGAAGCGCATTTCCAGCCAAGAGCCACAAACGCCCCTTTCATTGAAGGAGCTGGAGGATGCAGATTGTGGGAAATGGCAGGGGCAGTTACCAGGGAAGTGAGGGTCCCCTCTGTGAATTTGAAGGGAGGCTTTCCTTTATTCCTGTCATTGAAAGGACCCTCCAACGGACCATCTACAGCTGAACTTCCCCCAGGAGACAAGCAGGCCTTCCCTTTTGGGTCATCCTCTAGTGGGAGTGGGGGGACATGTCCCCACTCCTCAAACAATCGTCCCCTGAGACCAGCAAGTTCCCAGCAGGCCAAGACACGGCTCCTCGCCTGTAAACTCTTCCTGAGACCGACGTGACTTTTCCCCTATTTACAAATCAAATGCGATTACAGACGCTCTTTCTTGAAATATATGTAGATACAGATATAGATTTTTTTTTTAATGAGGAATGCCCTGTCTTTTTGTTTTTTAGGAGAAGACCCCACATTGACCAACTCATCCACCCCGGTCAGCATCCACCCGTCCCTCACGGCGATCCTGACTCGTGCAGATGAGATGCTCAGCAAACCGCCATCACCACCATCATCATGTCAATAAGAGGGCAATAATAAAGGATTTCGCCGTCCCCACAATGTTCCGGTGCACCCTGACACTTCCGGGTGCACAGGAAGTTGCCGGAACTGGAGATGATAAAATTAAACACGTCTTTAATACATTTGTGTCACCGTGAGCTTCTGCTTACTCCTCCACGAGCTCTTCTTGTGTTGATAATGCGTACCAGTTTAACAAAGTGCATGCTTGTAAAAAACTGTTTTGAACGGGCAAGCTAAAATGATCCATGTTGTCTTGCCCACCCCCACCCCCCCAAAAGAAGTTAATAGAATTTAGAACCTAGCATTTTAAAAGTATGGGCATGACGCGTCTGGGGTCAAGGCGGCTTGTGGAACATGCTCGATTTGGCGAGATGGTAAATCAAAAACCTCGTGGGTTTTGCTTTTCCCTTTTTGTTTGGAAGCAGCCAAAAGCAGGCTATTAACAGAATTGTATGACGGAAAAACGAAAGGAATACCCGATACTTTCCACGGGGTCACACGCACACACACACACACACGCACGCACGCAGAAGCACACATGCACACACACCCACACACACAGAGCCGCCCACTCCTTTGGGGGAAAATGAGGGGAGTCTGGTCAGAGACATCACCGTGGGTGGGCGCTCGACGGCTCTCAGCCTGGCGTGCAACTTTGGGTCTGTGTCCTCTCAGCTCGGTCTGGTGGGCTCGGCCTCACACCTGTCGCGCAGGAAAGCTGCCCCGCGACGGGCCAGCTGGGGGGATGTAAGGCATACGTCGGGGGGAGGCGGGATCCATGCTTCATGCTCACGTGTGAGTGTCGGAGCAGGGCTTTCCCGGCTCCGTCTGCTGGAAAGGGGGGGAAGAAATAAAACCAAGAGGGAGAGAGAGTGATAGTGAATGACAATACTAACAATAATAATAAAGGACAATAAGTAACCAAGGAGGAAACGCCGAGCTGGGCCAGCGTGGCAGGCGACTTGTGCCGCCGCGGCCCCTCCCGCTCCCTAAATGGACTTGCGGCGCCGCGTGAGCCTGTGGACGTCGTCGGGGAAGCTGTGCAGCCCCGGGGAGACGGAGCTGATGGGGGACGGGAAGAGGCTGTTTTTCAGTGTGCTCGGTGAGATCTCCTCGATCTTGTACGAGATGGAGTGGAAGTACTGCGGGCCGAGCTGGGCGCCGAAGGAGTTCCGGTGCCCCGCGGGGCGGCCGGCGCGCGCCTGCGGCCGGTAGCAGGAGCAGGAGCACACGGACTGCAGGTCCCCGTCCGCCTTGCAGCGCGCCCGGCCCTGCAGCGCCTCCTCCGGCACGTGGATGACCATGCTGTTCCGCGTGCCCGCCAGGGACGCCCTCTCCTCCGCGTCCCGCCGCTCGTCCTCGCTGTTCATGGTCAAGAACCTGAGGACCACCAGGTTGAGGAAGGCCCCGATGACCGTCAGCCCCACCAGGATGTACATAAAGCTAAAGGCCACGTACAGTGGCTTCTTTTGCAGGGCGCCCTTGGTCTGCAGGGCCACGTAGTCCCCGAACCCGATGGTAGTCAACGTGATGAAGCAGTAGTAGTAGGCGTGGAAGAAGCTCCACTCCTCGCACTGGGAGAAGGCGGCCGCCCCGATGCACAGCGTCCCCATGCAGGAGAAGAAGCCCACGGTCACCATGTTCTCCATGGACACGTCCGTGTTGCGCATGCCGCAGCACTTCTTGATGCGCTTCAGCAGGTAGCGCACGAAGGTGTTCATGCGCTCGCCGAGGCTCTGGAACATGACGAGCGTCAGTGGGATGCCCAGCACCGCGTAGAACATGCAGAAAGCCTTGCCCGCGTCCGTGCCTGGGGCTGCGTGCCCGTAACCTGCGGAGGGGCGAGAGCACAGGGAGAGCCAGTGAGAGGGTCGCCTGAGTGAGCTCTGGGCGGGCAGGGGCTCGGGGGCCCTTCGGTTACCAGATGGGGTTTGGGGAGTTCCCATGGGAAGAAGGGGTTAGAACCCGCCCAGGACCTGGGAGGAGGGGAGAAGCACAAACACGCCCCCTGAAGACTGGGGCATGTCCGTGGGGAGGGAGCGTGAGTGTGCCCAGATCCTGAGGGGAGTGGGAGAGGACAGCAGGGAAGAATCTGTGAAGACATGTCCTTTCAAGTTTGGGACTGTGGGGGAGGGGGTGACTTGGGGCATTTCAGTTGGGACAGGGGGGAGTTTTGGGGCCATTTCACAGTTCTTCTTAGAGCAACACAAGGTTTAAAAAAAAAAAAACCTAGAAAAACAGCAGACTTGCTCCTAAGAAAATTGCAAAGGTACCAGGCCCAAAGAAGACAATTAACCATGCCCCCCGTGGACCCACATCAACAGTGAGGACCAGAGCATGCTCAGGGCTTCACACCAGTCACCATCGCCTCTTTTCAACCTCTTCGGGCCCCTACAAAATAAGAGTAATGGGGCCAACCCCACTGTGGAGAAAACCGAGTTACTTAATAGCAGGGTAACTTGATTTCTGGAGAGCTGAGATTTGAACCCGTAGTTTTCAGCCACCAAATACAAGGCTTCAGTGTAGAGGGTGTGAGTCAAAGGAGGTGAGTGCAGAGTGCGACCCAAATACCATGCGTACGGCGACTGCCGTCTGCCCTGTCCACTGCTGGGTCCCCACAGCCAGAGGAAGGCGTCCCATGTGAAACCTTCCTCTCATGAAGGAATGTGCCCCTGCAGACGTGTCAGAAAAGAAACAACGAGCGACCCTGAAAAACCTCAGTGCGTAGATGCTGTGTGAACGCACCTTCACAGCACGCCCTCAGTGATCTCCCACATCAACCGTGCAAAGTTGGCCCTGTGTTTTCCCACATTCGAAATGAGGACAGTGGTGACGGAAAGGTCATGCTACCTGCCAGGGTCACCCAGGTGGTAGTGATAACGTCTGAGCCAGAATAAGGTCTGTATAACCGGACAGAAGGAACCTAAGATTTGGTAGGTTCTAGTTCGAGTTCGGGGATTAACACCACCTGGGTCATGGGCATTTTTGGAAGAAGGATTCAGAGGATGAGCATGGTCTTCCAACATCTCAAATCCTGAAAGAAAGGCTTCCCACACTCTCATGGGTTCATGGTCACCAAACCAGCTGCATTATCTTGGTCCCCTGAAGACCTCTTCCAACTCATGTTCATTGTCTGTTAGACGGGGTATAGTATAGAATGGGATGATGTTCATTTCCAAGAGGTTGGGTTGTTTTCTTTCTCAATGCTTTTACTTTGAAATATGGGGAGAATACTATAGATGCACATGAAAAAGAGCACCTAGCCCAGGGCCAGCACACAGTAGGGACCTACCAGACCCCAAGACCTCCATCCTTCCCATGGTCTCCCACAGAAAGCCTACTCCTCTCTTCCAGGACATCAGCACTTATGTTCAGTCTGCTTGTCTCCCTATTGGCATGAATATGTGCCACTTTTCACCTGCCCCAGAAGCCACGCTCTCTCTATAAAGGTGATATCACATGTTTGTCTCCAGGTGGCCTTCTCTTCATCCTCTCTGGCCCTCAGTCCCCCTGAGCCAGCACTGAGCTCTCACCCCTCAGCAACCCCAGGATAAATGACAGGACAGAGAGGGTGTCAGGCCAGGCAGAATAGAATGGGGATATAGAAAAGCTGAAGAGGAAAGCAATGATATATTAATAGAAATCACCCAACCTAAAGAACAGACAGAAGACCAAAAATAAATAAAGCTTCAGAGAGCTGCAGAATATCAAAAGGCATCATAACAGGAAAATAGAGAATAAAACAAACAGTAAAGAAATAGTCAAAACTAACCAAATTTGGTAAAGAAAACAAATGTACAGATTTGAGAAGCCAAGTGAATCCCAGGAAAAACATGAAGAAAACCACTCATCAGAATCAAACTGCTGCAAACCAAAGAGAGAACATCTTGAAAGCAGCCAGAGAGAAACAACACATGACATCCAGGGGAACAACTGTGAGCACTGCTTACTGGCAATCATGAACAATGGAGGCTAGGAAACCATGGAATAACATCTTTAAAGAGCTTTTTTTAAAGGCCATCAACATCGAATTGTCTATCCAGAGAAAATATTCTTTAAGAATGAAGGCAAAAATGCATCTTCAGATTAAAGAAAATTTGCTACCAGCTGATCTGCACAGCATCACTGCTAAAGGAAGTTCTTCCATCTAGAGGGAAATGATGCCAGATGGAGACTTAAGTCTTCAGGAAAGAAGGAAATACATCTTGGTAAACAAGTGGGTTTATATTTATACACATTGCAGGGGTGGAAATCCCACAACATCCCCATATAGCTCACCTGTGTAGCTGATGCAAAAGCCAGGTGGGTGCTGGAGAACAGCAGGCTGCTAGAAACTTAACAAGGTGATTTAATATTAGCTAACAGTTCTAAATGTGATATATTTACTGGAGGAAGCCAAAACAGCATTTTCTGGGTCAGAAACTGCACCCATGTTGCCCAGGCTGGCCCCAAGCCCACTGTGGTAAGTGAAGATGACCAGAAGCAGACTTCTTCCCACGGCCGAGACAGTAGTATGCCTGGAAGCCTGTCCCGGGGATGCATCACTTCTCCTGTTTTCTGTCCCACTATAGAATGACAGAGCTTGGTGGCAGTGATGCCTCACCGTGTATCTCCCTGGCCCATCATGGTAAGGACATCCCTCACCAAGACACATTCAGGAGACAGTGTGAGAGGGGACACCACCCACATTGAGGGCCTTCCAGCCAACGTAAATCTCCCTGTGGTCCAGGGCGCAGGACTATTCCTGCCGCAGAGATGAGCTGCAGTGTCTTCCAGGAAAAGCAGGCCGGGCAGGATGTCTTCAGCTCCCCACCTGGACGCACGTTCTCCCCTGGTCCTCTGCCCAGGAGGCCAGCCTATACACGCCACACCAAGTGGTCCTTGGTCCTCTGGTTTCCCATTAAGTTCACCAGTGGACAGCCAGCCCCAGGAGCAGGTCTGAGGAAGGGAGGAAGTAGAGGGCCCTGGTAATGAGCTGTATCGGCCAGTGGGTTCATGGCACGAGCTACTGTCCATGAGTTCTGGGAACCAGTTCCCAGACAGCCTGCTGGCTTCCAGTTTTGCTGGCCCTGGGGTACCATGCCCTCCCGTCCTGCTTCCCTCCACCCTACCTACACATTCCGGAAGATGTATGAACAGCTTGCTAAGTAACTGCTCACACTGAGGGGCTGCTTCCTGCAAAGACCCTGAATGATAAACCACATGGGTCCTCCATTCAGTGTCTGCCGAGATACTGATGTAACCCCATGGGCCCTTTGTGCAAAGGGATCCACGCACACCCAGTGTTTATAAAGCATCTGTGTAGGCATGGCATCTATGGGCCCTCATAGGAACACCCACGTGTTCACCGGAACTTCACGAACACAGAGAATGTGACAGGTGGAACACCTGGACGTGTGCACATGACGTGCGGGCACAACACACACGCACAGCTCCCGTCCACTGCCCCCTGGTCGGATCTGAAGCTCCAAGGAAAACAGAGCCCCCTCTGGACTCAGCTCTGTGGACCCCAGAGCCTGGCAGAGAGGAAGCACTTAGGGGGATGCATCACGTGTGAATGATATCCGTCTCCCGGAACTGCCTGGAAGCCCCAGCCCACCGCCCAGCCTGGCGTGGCGGGGGCAGCTCCCCACAGGCCCTGCAGTACGCAGCCTGCTGTGCCTGGCCCCTTTAACACACCTGGTGGGTCTCTTTGGTCTGTTGTGGGAGAAGCTGCACAGAGAAGAGGCCTGCATCTCTGGGCTACAGCTGGCTAACCAAACAAGATGCATGGGCCCCACCTCCCAGAGGGGAGAGAGGCAGAGTGGGAGGGCATCGCAACTAACGGGGTCTGGGCCTCCCCAATCAGCCAGCAGTGCCTCCTCGCTGGCTCCTGAACGATTTTGCAGAAGCGTGACAAGGCCACTCTAGGAGACATGCCCCAGGCCCGGCTCAGCACCTCAGTGAAGAGGCCCCAAGGGTCCAGCTTGAGGGCAGTCTGGAGCCCCTCCCTGCCCTCTGGGAACCCAGACCCGTCCACGGCTGTGAGTGAGTTCTCCAGACTCACACAACACTTCAGTTTGTGAAGCTCCGCTAACTGTGGGCACCCCTCCCCAAAACCTGCCTGGCCCCTGCTCCAGCAGCAACCCACCCAGCTCTGCACCCCCACTCGGCACTGCACATTCGTGGACAAGGCTGTCCCTGGCAGCAGGCCAGCCGACTGTGAGCACTGACTCTGCCCCTGAGGGACCGTGGGTGGTCACCTCCCCGCCTCCAGGGCCCCCCAATTTCTGCCAAATTCGCCGCAATCCCAGTCTCCCTGGGAGGCTCGGGTGCTCCCTGAGCAGAAGCAGCCGTCAAGGCCAGGTGCCAGGTGTGGGTGGGCATGACTGTCTCCTCCCGCCCACAGCCACGGAGCGCGGGGGACAGATTGCCAGTCCAGAAGAGGAGAGGGCTGCACAGGCCTTTGGGCACCAGGAAATTTGCTGCCGGAAGAGAGTGAAATATTTATAAAGGACACGCAAGGATTTAGTGCTGGTAGGAATTCAGTAGCACAAATTCCATGACAGAATGACTCAGGGCAGCTTTGGAGAAGCAGGTGCAGGGGCAGAAAGCTGCCCTCAGCGCCCACGCTTCCTGGCCGGCTCCCCACTCCGGCCCGTGGCACACACTGGTGCATCCTGCCCAGCCATGCCCTGCTTGCACCCCGGAAGGAACCACACGTGGTCACTGACTCAGTTCACAAAGCTTTTCTGCCCTCCTTCTTTTATCTGAATGGAATATCCGGTGTTGTGGCTGCCTTGGGTCAAGTTACCCTTCTCAAAATATAACCGACCCCTGAATTCTGTGGGT